CCCCTCTGAAGATGCCTGTCACAGATGCTGGAAACAAAACTTCCAGAATATGGCCACACAGCCTGGAAGACCCACACCAGCCATAGTTGGGAATTACTTTTCATGACTCATGTTTTACCCTCATTAAACATCTTGGTGGATAAGACCCAGCGAGGATTCCTTCTCCAAAAATTAGTCAATCGGACATCCTGAGAAAATGACAACTACTGTAGTATGTCCTATTTGCTTTCCAGCCTTTCTTATTCAGAAATGTGTCACTTCTAAGCATTACATTTTTCACTCTTTTACACACTACATGGCTAGATCAGCCTTCACCAACCTGGTGCCCTCTAGCTATTTGGGGACTTCTGGGAACTGAAGACCCAACATATCTTGAAGATGCCAAGTTGGGAAAGGCTGAGGTATATCAATCCTTCAAAAAAGTAAAGCAGAAGGAAAGAAAAAGTGATAATCACTTAGGTCCACACACATCTTGTGTGAACAGGTTCTCTTTTGTATAATATCTATTGAGTGTTTTTATAAATATCTGTAACAAATAATATTTAGACAGAGATTTCATATCTCACAGTGCTTTATGTGCATTAGCTATATTTAATCTGAACTGCAAACTTCCAGGCTGTCAGTATCCCTCTAGCCCACATTCTGGATTGGTTGGGGGTGGGTAATAATGCATGCTAAGGCCACTCACATCAGACTTTTGGGAGACACATGGTTCTAACAAGATTCTAATCAAGGACCTCCTGATTTATCACATGGTTTCTTAAATGCTATGACTCACCAGCCAACCCCTTGTTTTTGCTGTCCTATTACCACATCTTAGGTAAGAGCAACTAGATGACCTAGGCTGATCTCAGAAAGCTAAGTGGACTTCATCCTGATTAATGTCAGATAGGAGGCCACTAAGAAGTGCCTAGGCTTTAGGCTAAGTTGACAAAAACATCCCAGAAGACAACAATGGCAAGCCACTTCTATATTGTTAACAAAAAAACTACACAGACTGTCCATAAATGCATTAGAAGCTGAAGTTGACTGAAATAAGCTTTACCATTTGATTACCAAGTGAATTAAACTGAAAAACTCAAGATTTAGGATTCACCAAGGTAATGCTTGTCCTCCTTCTCTCTCCACTACTCACTGTAATAATAGTGTTCTTTCACCCCTTTTTCCTGCTTTCTTCTAAATACTATGAAGTGCACATGGGCAACATTGAACTAAGTCAAGAAGCTAGATTTTCCCCTTAGAGTATCTTGGATCTGTATTGTCCAGAAGCCCTTGAGCAGAGGAGAAAAACACCAAAGACTGACTCCAGGACTCAGTATTGTTGGCCAGAAGCATATCATTCAGGGTGAGGCTGATAGAAAGCTAAGTTTGCTGAAGATAACTAGATAATAATCCTCATTCTTGCAATAGAAAAGAAGTAGCATCTCTCCCAGGACCTTCTCACTACAATTTGGTTTATTCTTATATTCATCTAAGAGACTAACCTTCTGAAATATATGCCCATGATACTATACACAATTTGGCTGTGTAAACAAAAACAAAGGGAAAAGTATTTAAATTGGACTGCCTGTGAATGTTATTCTTGTGCAAGTCCAGAATAAACACACATCCTCAGTGCCTGGCGAAAGAGATGTGTCTACTGTATTGGTGAATAAAGGAAAATGAAGGAACTAAGGAAGAAGAGAAAAGATAATTTGTCTAGATGGAAGAGATTTTTTAAAAATACGCTGGAAGATTATAGACTGCCATGTCTACCAAAAAAAGGGGGGAGCGATCCCAAAATAATTACTGATAAACTGGAAGGACAAAACTTGCTTAAGAGAAAGATGCTGCTAAAAGCATGACTGAAAGAAGGCAGAAGAGCTGGAGAAGCTGTTGCCTTCATTTCAAAGACAGGAACGATCACTCATGCTCTGCGCACCTCTTTTTATCCATGAACAGAGGGTGTGTATTGACAAGGAAAGGCACAGCTCTATCCATGTAGGTTCTCCATAGAAATGAATACTCTGGAAAATCAGAATTCTCAGTCTTGATGGATAGAGAGGGTCTCCATTCCAAACACCTACTTCTACATCTAGAGGGGAGGGGAAGGAGGAGGAGGAGGAGGAGGAGGACACTCTGGCTGAACAAAGTGATGCTGTGCTCATTGATAAAGAAAGTTCTCTTTCAGAAAGTACCACTGTTTGCTGGTTTTTTTCCCGCTCCTTTAAATCAAAAGAGAAAATCTAGTGACATCACTAGAAGAGCTGTAACCAAATTCCACTTGAAATATAATTGTACACAGTTCAGCTTCATCAGCTGTTTTAGAAGATAGTGGCTGCTTAATCAGTAGGAAGGGCTTCCTGCTCCATGAAACCAGGGCCCTAAGAGATCCCTATTGCTAGGATTAGGGCAGTTGCTAGGGAAACAGGGTTTCACCAACACAAAGTGAATAGCAGATAATCCATTGCTTATTTGAACCCTGGGTGAAATGGATACTCAGAATATGTTTTCATATTGTTAATTGTCAGCAGCCAACACAATTACTTCCCTGCTGTTATTATAAGGTTAATTACCTGGTTTTTATAATTAAAAATTAGATCAAACTGGAGGGGGGGGGGTTATGACATGCAATCAAAAGAACACCATATAGAATTTGTAACAGCAGTAAGGATAACAATAACAACATAAAATATTGCAGCAAAATTCAGCCAAAGGCTTATGAGAATAAATATCTTCATTTGGAACCAAAAGCCTAAAATGGTTATTGCCACCTAGAATCAAGCAAGGTGGGAAGAAGTTCCACAGTTGGCATGTTATCATTAAGAAGGTCCTTATTTCAAGTCATTGCACTGTAGCCCATCCCCACAGGTGGGACCAGGAGAAAGGCTTTTTGGCCATACTCAGTAAATGGGTTGTTTGCTATTAGTGATGTCCACTACAATACTTCGGTCTTGAATTATTTTTGGCGTATACATTAGAATTAACACCTTGAAATGGGCTCAAAATCTTAGCAGCAGCTAAACCCTTGAGCACCTTGCTTCTCCATCCAGTAGAAAGAATTAAAATGAAGTTCTGTACAAAATATAAGCACTATACAGTAGTCCTCGCTTACCAAACCACTCATTCAGTGACCATTCGAAGTTACGACGGTGCTGAAAAAGGAGACTTATGACTGGTCCTTGAAGTTGCAGCATCCCCACATCACATGATCACAATTCGGGTGCTTGGCAACCAGTGCACATTTACAATGGTTGCAGCACCCTTTGGTCACATGACAGCCATTTTCAACCTTCACAGTGATGTTGTATTTAACGACCACAGGTGATTTGCTTAATGACCACAGCCAGTACTGACAAACTGATGTTGTAAGTCAGGTGCAGTCACATGATTTTTCACTTTACAATCATGTCACTTAGCGACAGAGTTCCTGGTCTCAATTATGGTTGGTGAGGATTACCTGTATATTATAGTGGACTTTAGGATATGATTAGACAATTTAACTTTACAATTTAAAAGATAAATTGTAAAATAAAGATGGGTGACCACAAACCACAGTCAGCATCCCATATGTACCTCAGATGGTTCAAATATAGCAACACAGGTATGTGTACACGTTTCCAGAATTAAAGGCTGGAATAAAAGTGGAAAGCCCCAAATCTCAGGTTGTTTTTTTTAACCAGATTTTGACTCGATTTTCAATTTTTTCAGGGATTTAAGGATGGGAAATAAAGGGGACATATCTGCAAGCCAAACTGCTTTTGTACCCAGCCTCCAAACCCATCAAAACTAATACATATATATACACGTACACACACACTGATAGTTTGTCCCAAACTATTTTTTACTTCTTTCAACATTCAGGAATGGTTTAAGGATGTAAATAGGAGCTATTTGCCTTCCAATCTTCCTGGCTTTCATTTCTACCTTTAAATTCTGCAAACACAGTGATAGCAACATGTCACCAGTTGGTTTTTTTAACTGAATTGTAGCCCGTGACCCTCAAACTTGGCCTACGCCTGCAACAAAAGATGAATTAGAGTACGCAAAGCCAGATTAGTTAACCTTAAAGCTGGATAACTGTAATGCACTTGTGGGACAGCCCTAGAAATTTCAGCTGACCCAGAACAGAACACAGCAATACAGGTTATGAATGACATGTTACAGACATGAGATACCTGTAACTCTCACTGATTTGCATATAAACATGGCACCCATGAAGTAAATACACTTTTGAGAAAACCAATATGAATTTCAAATGATGAAAGCAAAATAATTTCAAATCTCAGTGGGAAAAGATTTTTTAACTTTATAATTTAATTGGTCAGCTAAAGTTTTCTGTACATTTTTCTCAAAGCACAAGTGGGAATAGGATGTAATAGGGACACTATTAAAGCCTTTTAGGTTGATACGGATATAGATTCAAGGTTATAAATATTATATAAATTTGAACTGATAAAATTATGTTTCTTCGATAACAACTCAAGACAAATATAGACTGAACTGAGCAATAAATGCTGGAAATGAATGGATGCATGCTTTAAAGAGGTGGGTGCGCTCCAGTTACATTCCCTTAAAAATTATCATCTGGTGGGACCTTGGAGACACAACTTTTCGGTGCCTGCCCCAACCGTTTCAACAGCCTCCCCCCTGAGATTTGGAGGATCCCCACCTTATTGGCCTTTAGGAGGGCTGTGAAGATCTGGCTCTTCACCCAGGCTTTGGGCTAGGAGAGAAGTGAGCCCAGCAAATGTAAGCGTGTAGGAAGTTATATGATGTTGCAGCACTGTGTTTGGAATATATGGGGTTGGTTGTTTTATTTATTCTGTTTTTATTTAATATTATTGTGAGCTGCCTATGATTAATTTGTATAAGATGGGCAGTCATGTAAGTTTCTAAATAAATAACTAAAAGTAAAATCTTTACAGAGTTCGTAAAAAACATGATAGGCAGACTGAACTGCCATATAGAACAGGCATAATACAGGTATTCCTTGCTTAACAACCACTCATTCAGTGAGCATTTGAAGTTATGACAGCACTGAATGAGGAGTTTTATGACTGGTCCTCATATATGCAGTTGTTGCAACGTCCCCACAGTCACGCGATTGCAATTCGGGCACTTGGCAACCGGCTCACAATTATGATGATTGCAGTGTCCCACGTTCATGTGATTGCCATTTGTGACCTTCACAGCCAGCTTCCAGCAAGCAAAGTCAATGGGAAGCCAGCAGGAGGTCACAAATGGTGATCACATGACATTGCGCCTAACAACTGCACAGAATTCACAGTATTCAGAACTGCCACAACTGCAGTCATAAGTTGGTGCAGTCATGTGATGTCTCACTTTACAACCGTGCTTAGCAATGGAGTTCCCAGTCCCAATTACCGTTGTTAAGTGTTAAGCAAGGACTACCCATACATCTGTTTAGGGGGAACTAAACAATGTTTTCCAAGCTAAACTATCATAACATGAAGACATAAAACATTTGATTACAACTCTTTCCCTCAGAAAGACCTGGCTGAGGGGGAGGCTCACAGTGCTGTCTACTAGAAGAGGACACACGACCACTCACCAAGTATTTGTTTCTGTTCTTGAGGAGGGGCTGCAGCCAACATGGATGTCGTCAATGGCTCCTGTCCATGGATATGAATGACTGGTTCTACAGCCTAGAGCCCAAGAAACAGAATATATTGAGAAGAGCCCTTCTATTCCTATAGTTCCCTACTGAAGAATTAATACCAATTAATGGTACTCTGTGAAGAATGCATTCATGACAGCATTTCTTCTCTTTGCAAACTCATATAGCAGCTTTTATATAAGCCTCTTTCCAACCTCAAATCCCATCCAGTGAAAGGATTTCTTTTCCCTCCTGGCCATACTGAAGAAACAATACAGTACCTTTGATTTCTATGCACCATGCAATAAGCAATATATAGATTAAGTGAAATTAAAAGATGGAATGATGTAATACAGTGTCTCCTTTTCATACAGAAAGCCATATGCCTAATCCTTAATATCTGAAAGCAAAGCTGTCTTAAAGTCTGGAAAGCTGCTGTTAATCATTGTAGCCCAAGGGTCCCCACTGGACAGATATTGAAAGCACTTTGCAGGGTACTCTCAATCCTATATTTGTATTTTTTAAAATCATTTCAGTGGAGCCCAGACTGATCATGCTGGAACTGGTCAAACTCTTCAAATAATTGTATTAATTAATTTATTTAAAACATGTCCATGGTCGTACCAGTCCCAAATGGGCCCAAAACTGGAAGTTCATAGAAGAGGATCAAACTGAGCTAGATGGCTAATGTTCTGACTCAGTGGTTTCTAAATGAGTGAGTGCTCAGTGATACCTACCTCAAGACTAATCCCAAATCAGAGTCCCAGCTCTATGTATCTCTTTGCTACAATTTCCCAAATTCAACATGACAAAAATATCCCATCTAAGAGCAGTTTGAGTGTATGTTTTAATTGCACAGTGGAAGGATAGTGACCTGTTGCATTGGCAGAGGTGTTACTGTGCCCAAGGGCTGGACATTCCTCACAGCTGAAGAATACTTGTACTGCGAGATACCACGTGAGAAAGTTGGAGAAGAGGGTGCCCTTGCACCAATAGTCTGGGTTCCAATGTTGGCTGGAATAAAACCAGAAATAGTTTGAAGGATGGCCTTAATTTTTCCACAACATTCTCTTTTTTAAAAAAACAACTTTTTCAAACAGTACAGTTCTTCATTGTACCCAAACCTGAGGAGATACAGGCCTGTAATATTCTTGCCAGATCTCATGTGCATGATATGGTACAAAAGAAGAAAGATATAATCAATGACACTCTAGGAAGAAAGGCTAAATCAGACATGAACTCTTGGTGATCCTTTTGTCCAGAGCAGGCTCCCAAAAAGTTACCTTTTCCACTAGTATGCAGTCAATGCATATAGCCCTATTAAGCCCTAAATTTAATTTCTTGGGTTACACCTTATATTAAACCATAATATGTCTTATTTGTTTTAGCTTTGTGTAAACTCATTCTATTTGACTAACCCCTACAGGCTTGTTCAATAAGCCATAACTAAACAAAATCCAGATTTAGCATTACATGGTACTGTACTCCCAGACTATGTTTTCCAGTCATGCTACACAGCAACAGACTTCTAAAAATTAAGTTTTATGTTAAGAAATAAGTAGTGCTTTGTAGAGTTTACTAATGAAACTTTCAGGATCACTTTCCTCCCTGTTTCTGGTCAGCTGTTCCAAAACCAAGGCAAATCCATTCACTTGCGAGATATAAATTGCATTCAGCTGGATGATGAACTATCAGAACACCCAAACGTACCCACTCTCTGGCCAGTGGATGGTACTCTGGGAACTTGAGTGGAGGCTTGTCTCATAGTGCTGATGTTGGAGAGGAGGCGCCGAGGAGGTCCACTAGTTCTTACCATTGGAGTGGCTGCATGATAGGATGCTAAAGACAAGTAAATACTGTCAGTCAGAAACCTTGTTTATAGATGAGATCATAGCAGGAGTTAATACCAGAATTCTGCTTCATTTGCACTACTGAACTTGCAATTAAGACCACCATCCGTGTACACTACCCCACAATATTTGAATCATAGTTTGGTTGCTATTTTCAGAACATTTCTTAGTCCCAACACCATGCCATCAGTGGAAGAACTTCACACGTGGGCAACCTCACATCTTTACATTTACAGATATATTTTCTTGATAATAACATTTCAACTCACAAGGAGGTCTGGAGGATTGAGTATTCCAGCGTGGGGCAGGCCGGACTGGGGCAACTGGACTAGGACTGTAGAAAGTTGTTCTAGTCTGTGGCTGTGAAAGAGGAGGAGGAGGTGGCATGACATTATTATGTAGTCTAACAAGGTATTTATGTTTACATCTATCCCATAGCATTTTGAAATATACGAAGGAACCAAAATGGAGATTTTATAAGTTCTGTGGTTTTTATTTTTGTACTTCCAGTATTATTATAGATTTTTGCTATCCTCCACTGGGATTATAAAGTCAACAATCTAAGCAATGTTTCCCAATTTGGTGCCTCTAGATTGGGAATTTCAAGTCTAGCTCAATGACTGGTGAATTTATTAACATATCCAGCCAGGTTTCTTGGCAACAATATAAAAATATTTTGCTATGGCCTTCTTTTTATTTCCCAGTCTAGCCTTCAGTTATATGAATAATTTCCAGTGAATACTGCTACTGGCATTGTATTGTTTGAAGCTGCTGTCAACCTAGTGACCTTCCAGTGTATTGAATTATAGATTTCAGTCAGAGTTGATGAATGAGCAATAATGGCGCCTCTCTTCACATGCAACAATTCACTTCATTCCTTATTTGAAACAAATCATAGCTTGTTCTTCAGACTTCTCCTATAGCCCTAGAATCTGAGGGCATTCAAGTAAAGGTGACTGGGAGAAGATTTAGAAGAGCCAAAATAATACTTATTCAGAGAGTACATAATTAATTTGTGGAATTACTGACCACAATAATGATGATACCCACTAACAAAATTCTAACTTAGTGTTACTGTACCAAAAAGCTAATTTTTTCCAATTTTTTGTTGTAATATTTTAAGGCTCAGATAAATCCTTTAACTCTCTGTGAAGATTAAGGAGAACACATTTCACTCCCATCTCTGGGAAACAAGAAGGCCCCAAATTATCATCCAGCCCACTTGGGTGATACCATAACATCATTGGCATACTTGTGCGCCCCCAGGCAGGGCACAAAGGCAAAGGAGAGTCCCCAGCTTGGAAAAAAATAGTCCACCCTAATCAACACTCACATGCCTGAGCTATTATTTTGCTTCTGGTGCCTGATGGCACATTTTAAAATATGAGGGAGAAGTGTTTTCCTGTTCCTTGAGTTCCATGCTATAAAATGCTATTAACTTCATTTAAGCTTCCCTAATGGAAGTGGCATTCTTATAGGCCATACCTGTGGAATAGAGGGCAGGAAGTAGCCTGCAGGAGGCTGGAAAGAACATAGGAGTGGACCAGGCAAGGCCCTCATGGTAGCCAGTCTCTGCATGTATTGGTTGGTGAGAATGGCTTTTCTCTCCTCCTTCCGTTGGGCAAGGGCAACATACAAAGGCTTAGTGCTGACGATGCGCCCATTCATCTCAGTCACAGCCTTTGTTGCTTCTTCTGGGGAAGAAAAACATACAAACCCAAAACCTTTGCTGTGTCCGCCCTCTGTCATCACCTGAATGGAAAATTAAACAAAGTCCACTGAGCCCATGACTCTCCAATATGCACAGACAGGGACATCCACAGAGTATGGTCAAACCAGTCAAGATGGTGGTTGCAACACTGCAAAGTTCCACCTGTTTTTATGTGGGTCCCACCTAGAAAAACAGGCAGAGCTTCAACTGCACTTCTGTGGCCATCACCTTAATTTGTTTGGCTACATCCTGAAGACACCCCATGCACAGAACAAGTAAAGAGAAACGGATCAAAAAGAATGAACCAACAGCTTTTCCAAATTCTCTTGGGCATATTCTGGAAAAATAAGCTTTTTAAAGCAGTTTGCATGGATTAGGGTTATACAACTTCACATTTGGCAAATAGGAGATGGACTAGGGGTTAAGATTCTAAAAAGTAGTGATTCCCAGCACATCAGAACAGTGGATGGAGTCAGGAAAAAATTATTTTTGATTTGAGGTTGCCATTGCATGAAATGTAGTTAAAAATGTCATTAATAACGTTTGCTCTCTACTCATGTATTTAACAGTTTTCTTCTGATACATTAATAGTTATAATTAAGAACTTTTGGAGACATTAAAACTCTAATTTAAATTCTTGGTTTCCATTGAAAGCTAACAGTATATGGAATAGATTTCTCTTCACTCTTCTCCAAGCACAAGTCCCAGATCTTTTCCAAAACATTCCCCAACTCCAGAACAGATTTGAAGATGCATGAGCTTCAGAATCTGTCTTGGTGGTAAAACAGTATATGCCAGGGAAATGATGCTAGTTGATTCAGTCCTAAATGTCCTTTTCCAGCCCTTATTATAAACTTCATATTATACTCTGCCAAACATGCTACATACCTTCTAACACACAGTAATCAATATATTAAACTGGTTTAATATTATTTCAAGACTACATAATATTTCTTCCCTTTCCCCTCTCACCTAACAGAGAACTTGCAGAAATTTGGCTCTACTGTATAAATAATCGTATATCTATCAGTAAACCATAGTGCTATCCCTCTGCATTTAAGGACTGTACAAAACAGATCTGAGTGCCTTCAGACAGAAAAACTAGATTAAAATGTTTTAAATAAAAAACACAGCAATCAGAATTACTGCAGAAAAGACAAGGCATAGGGCGAGGCAAATAATTATAATTACATGGAGACTGACTTGGTGTCATAAAATAAGCTTTGGTTATTGGGCAGTTTAAACATTTTAATAAATAAATTAAACAAAACAAATCAAGGAGTGGTAATGGATTGCACTGTTCCACTCTGCAAGTGAGAGCTCCTATGATTATTATCCCTTCCATATCATGCAGCCCGACATATTAAAGCAGCCACTAGGTTTTGGTAAAGGACTCAGTAGATCATGAAAGAAGAGATCATTCTTTTGAGTCCAAACTGCATTCTGAAAGGATACAGCCCAGAAGTATCTTCAGTTGGTGAGAACAAACACTAAGCCTCCTCATCAAATATGCAAAGATACTCAGTTATTAGAATCTGACCTTGGCACTTGTGATGGTTCCGTAGGGTGAGAATTCTTTCCTCAACTGCTCATCATCAATCCCATCGTCCAAGTTCTTTACATACAAGTTCACTCCCTGAAAGCAAACAAGCACAGCCACTTTCTTCATAAATTATATTTAGACGCTACTTTTGCAATTACATACATACAAGTAACATCAGTGGATCCACCATCATAAGGCTGAAAGACCCCTAAGTGCCATCTAGAGCAATACCTAGGGCTTAGGATCAGTTTTCTCTGACTATTGGTCATGCTGGCCAAAGATAAAAAGTGTTACAGTTGAAAATATCTAGAAAACATCCCTGGGAAGAACCGTTCTATACATTAACTTTCAAATTCCTGTAAGCGGACTTCACATTGACCTATGCTAACTTCTATTATTTGCTATTTACCCAGCGCCTAAATCTATATTATGTTTTATTTTTATTGAACTTGTTCTCTAGTGTTAGTTGTTTATTTATATTTACTGTAGTTTACATGCTGCTAACGAGGGTCAGAGCTGTTTACAGCCAGAAGGAGCAATGCAACGTTAATATAGAAATGATCATAACCAACACAACAGAATAACAGCACCCTGAGGATCAACTACAACAACCAATCCATGGCAGAAGGATCCCTTTAATTATCAAACTATTGCAACACTCTCCAGAAAATCAAATATTAATGGTTTCTGAAAAACCAGTAGGGTGGAGGCCAGCCTAATCTTGAGAAGAATGCTGTTCCCAAGGAGGAGGACAGCAACTGAGAAGGCTCGTCCCCATGGTTCCCAAAGTGGCATTCCTTAAGAGAAGGGACCTGAAAAGAGCCCACCCTTCCCAATCTTAATGAATGGAGAGAAGCCACTGGGAGAAGACAGTCCATAGATATCTAGGTCCTAAGTCATGTAGCCATGTTCAGATTTTACAGAAGAAGAATAGCTGGCCAGAAAGATTCACCTAGATATTTCAAGTAGTCCTAACTCAAGTGATCTCCAAGTTCTTTCTGCCTACTGGACGACAATAATCTACATATACTTTTTCATGCAACAAAGACAATGAAGAGCCAATTATTAGAAAAAAATGCTCAACTAAAGAGTTCCCATTTTCATTTGAATCCCAGCTCAGCATTTTCTGAGGTAATCAGCCTATACATTATCAAAACAGGAATATCCATTAATCCAGATATGGATATATGGATGAGGATGACAGAATTGGACTACTTGAAAAGTATTTCAAACTACTTTGTTAGCTTCCAATTCAGTTAGTACTTTTACATCTTTACCTACATTTCTGGTTTTTGTTTAGGGCAAAATATACAGAGTTTATATATGAAGTAAGACATATGCAGGAAACTTGTTCCAAACTAAAGTAGAGAAAATACAAGAAAATGAGGCTTGTCCACAGTTCTCAAACTCATCTTGTGAAAAGGCACTCTGCTTATTAACCAAAAGGCATAGAAAGAAGACAGACATTGCTACACTTATTTTATCACAACCTGATACCTGCTGTTCAGAAACATCATAATCGGTAGTCCGTTCTTCATCCAGGCAGCCCCCATTCCCCATCTGCCTCCTTCTAGATAAAAGCAACACTGTAGAGTGAACCAAATTGCTAGGTTCATAGGAAAACATCCAAGGTATTGGATAAGCCAACAACAGTCACTTAAAGTCAACTCATTGCATTTCTCTGTTCAACAGGTCCTAGTACTGAATAGAAAAGGGGCTGAGTGTGTGAATGGAGGGAGAATGTTACTGTAATAAAGCTCTTGATAAAATACGTAACTGTGCTGCTGAATCAAATGAGATATAATACAAGATATTGAATCATAGCCAACCATACACAGGACATTTGAGATCATATAAGCAGAAAAAGGCAGTTTAGTTCAATTGCCTATTCTCAATCTCCCTCCTGGTCCTGTCTTCTTCCACCTCTGCCCCTTCCTCCAGCCCTCTTATTCTAGCAGAGGTGCATTTTGGAGTTCAATGACAGGTTTCTAAAAGACATCCAATGTTTATGTACCAGACACACCTTGCCTTCAGCTCATATTACCTGATATCGGCTCATTCTTTCCTGCTTGATTTGTTCAAATTTACGCTTCAGCTCACTTTGTCGCTCAATCCTCTTTTGAGCTCTGCCAACGAACACTGTTCGGCCATTGATCTCCCTCCCATCCATGTGCTCAACAGCCTGCGGTGAGAAGAGGTGACAGGCAACGCCATAAATTTATCTCACAGGAAATCATCTCATACTTTATCATTTAATTTTTAATTTATTTATTTTAGTCAAGGCCTGCTTTGAGCTGGCCAAAGAATGAAATGCTATCCTACCCCAGCCTAAAGAAATAATTGGATAACTAGTTCAACCTGTGAAGAGATACTGACTTAAAAACCCTATTAACTTCTTATTATGGTCCCCAAGTCTTTCCTCCCACCATTAACAGAGAATGGAAGAATGAGAATGAAGATTAACTTGCCTTCTGAGCATCTTGATGCTTCTCAAAATTGACAAAACCAAACCCTTTTGAGTGGCCTGTATTATCCATCATGACCTTGACACTCAAGGTCTTTCCTGGAAGTAGAACAAATACTTTCAGGCTAATACTACAATAAGGAAGGTTTTCAAGGAGTTCAGAGCCACAAGGGGCTCCACTCCACCTAAGGATAGTGATGGGTACATACCAGTAAATACCATATTCTTCTATTACATTTAAACTTTTGGCTCACATAAAGTTCTATTCCAGGGAGGCATTTTTCATGTCTTCAGAGTACTGTCTCAATTTAAGTTTGATTTTAGTATCAAAACTTGGATTTTGCACCAGGAAATCCAAATTTGTTTCATGGTATTTTGAGCCACCCAGAGTCACTTAAATAAGATGGCTGGCCATACAAATCAAATTATATTATCATCATCATCATCATCCTCAAAATCTTAGGCATCCTTTTCACTTTATGTATCTTACAATGAAGTCCTCCTCTTACCAAATGTGTCCATTTGCTAGATAGCTTAAGACAAACAGATCAGGTATTCTGCATGTACTGACTGGCAAGGATTTTCTAACTCTGATATTATTAGAAAGGGAAAAACATTTTTAAACTAGCTTACATGTAAAAATATAGCCTACCATAATCCTGTACCCTCCAGATATAATGGTTACCAGTTCTCATATTTTTCGGGGATCATGGGCAAAAGGCAAAAGGATTATGGGAGGTAAAGAGCATCACAACTGAATGGCAGTAGACTGAGAAAGCTTTCTGATATATATCCTTAAAACAGATGTAATATTATTGTTACCCTTATGGCTTAGATTATGATTTCATACTCTTAGTTTACAGTGGAGTGTTTTTGCCTGTTTGAAGGTAGGTCAGATCACAATGCTGGCTGTGTCTTCTGCTATTTGCTCAGAAAACTGAAGCAGCACCCATTCTGTTAATCTAATGCTCACAACCCTTATTTTATAAGCAGTGCTTTTAAATGCCACCCTTACCAAATTTTGAGAATATTTCTTGCAGCCTCTCATCAGTCATGTCATCTCCAAAGTTCTTGATATAGACATTAGTGAATTCCATTGCTTTGGCTCCATATTCCGCTTCACGTTCTCGGCGGGACTTAAAGTGGCCAACAAATCTACAGGGTCAAGATAGGAGACATAAAGCCAACTCCTAAAAGGGGATTGCATAGATCAGTGTTGTCCAAACTTGGCCACTTTAAGATGAGTGGACTTCAACTCACAGAATTC